TGACTATATAAAGATCAGGAGAAACACACAAGTCTTAACTAGCATTACAGTATTTCTAGGATCTCTGTGACTAACAAACCAGTTGCTCCATTGTCCCACCATGACTAACTTTAGTGCATCGGTTTTAAATTTACCACAATTCACAGCTTTTACATTCAAGTAAATACATCCCATTTTGTTTAGGACGAACAATCAGTAGTTTTTAAAATATTAATGTAGACCTTATAGGATTCACCCAAAACACCAGAGTCTATCCTCCTTCTTGCTCCAACACTGCCGTCTATGACTAATTACTGATCACTGATCCTTTTTGGATCATTGACCATGCCATCAGTTATAAAGGCCTGTTAAGGGTATCCATTGCCAAGGATATCTTCAGAAGTGCAGTATGAAGTCTGATACACGACGCCTCCTTGTGCACATTTACTTGTCAAACTGGAAACTGTGGGTTAGTTGTGGTAATATGATTTCTCAAGGTTTTTATGCCCACAAAGAACTTCTCAAAGCCCAACTTGAAAACAAGCAGGTGAAGCACAGCAGTCATTTTTGTATTTGCACTGTGGGGAGTTCTATTGTGTTTGGCCTCACCAAAATATTTTTTGATATACAAGCACTTTAACAACTGCTCTATCATGTTGTGTGCAAACGTTTATAAATATTAAAGATTGTATGTGTCAGGTCCCCTTGCTTACCCTGTCACCGCGAGTGGGGTCATCTGGTCCCCACCACTGCACTCCAGACGGTCAGTGTGTCTGATGCTGCATGCTCCAGAGCGGCATCCTCATGTGTATGCCGGACCCGGTCATGTAACCCGGCACACCGTGATGACCTCAGAGACCACAAGGGAAACTCCTCCCACGTATTGATAAACACTAATTGGAGGTTAGCCAATCAGACACACCCTGTGTGTATGTAAGCTAACCTCCCCCTTGCCTCAGTGCCCTGTTGTGGTCTTTAGTTTACCATTTGTTACACTGTATTGGGATTTTCTGGTTATCGATCTCTGGCTTGTCTTATGATTATTCTGCCCTCACTATCCCTGACCTTGGCTTGTCACCACGTTACTGCGTCTCTGTATTCCGTTGACCTTGGCTTACTTTGACAATCCCTTTTGCATAGCCTGGCCATTCTAAGGACCGGTATTGCAATTTTCTCTGTTGTGTCCTGTCTGCGTGTTTGGGTTCCCTAGTGAACGTTACAGTATGTCCAATGTTGCTTCTGCCAGACAACCTAGGAGTGCATGACCATGCACCTTTTATTTAAGTCAGTCTGTACACACATTTTTTTTATTATCCCTTTCCAATTATTGATTTCCTTTTTTAAATATTATGATTAAAAGTTAATATACTTTTTGTTTTCAACAAACTTTGGTCTGGGCAAATTTCTCTCTTCTCTTTGTCCAATCCAATAAGGACAAAGAAAGGCATTTACTGCATCTGCTGGGTTTGTAGAGGATGTAGTCATCTCCAAGTTCAAACGATAACCAATAAGTAAATTATTTATTTTTGTTCCGCACCAGTAATTCTGTAATCAGTGTTACGCACAAGTAATTATTTAGCGAATATTTAAAGTTTAAAATAAAGTGCACGTAGCTACATGCCTGTACAAAAGTGTTTTGTGGGCCCTGTTTCTGCAACCTTAAACTTAGCAAGCGATGGGAACTGTCAGAGGTCGAGGACCTCAAAGGATGAGGAAAGCCAGACTGTGAGTAGCGAAGTGAAGTGATGGTTACGGAGTCCAACTCAGCAGCCTGATCCTCTTTGCACAATTTCACTCTCTCGATGGGAAGACAGTCGATGGACTGAGGGGGAGGGAAGCTGTGCCACACCTGGCTGTCTTTCTGCTGCTAGCAGGCTGCACATACGTACTCCAGGCACCATGACCACTTACAATCATTGAAGTGGTTATGGTGCTCGCAATAACCTTTTTAAAGGTGAAGGGGCATCATCAGGGTAGCCCCCTTTCTGAGAAATTATGCATTAAGTAGAGGAATACTATCTACGCCCAGATGCCAGATAGCCAGTAACTGATATCAGATAGTGGTGGCGGTGACAAGTCAAAGGAGAGAAAGTAGATGAATGTGTTGTCAGCATACAGGCGATCCTAAAATCCAGAAAAAAAAAATTCGCTAAAAGAGGTTGAAGAATAGATGAGAACGGCAATGAACGTAACCATGAGGTAGCCCAAGTGTATGAGCTAGTGGAGAGGAGAAGATACCTATAAGACACAATTTCAAATAGAAAAATGGAGTGCCACAGATTCCAAAGGAGTGAAACGGTTTTGATTGAAGGAGGTCGTCAACTGTATCTAAGGCAGCAGAAAGCTCCAGTAGGATGAATAGACAGATGTGACATTCATTTTATTGTCGTTTTTTGGTTTAGCTCTTTTTTTCAGTCGAGTGTTGGGGGCAAAAACCTAAGAGAGTTAAACAAGTTTGTTGATAGGCGGCTGAGAGACGAGTCTGCAGCTGAAAGGCACAGTTTGCCTTGATGTGGCAGGTGAGCTTACACTTGAATGGCCATTGGAGTAATACTAAAAAAACTCAATTTATTTGGATATGGGATAGTGCACAAGTAAGTCTTTTTATTGTTTTTTTTTAATACCCAGATCATTTGAATCCTTCACTTCTCTCTGTGCATTTTCCCCTATTCTCTTTATGTGCCTACAATTATTTATAGGGACAAAGAGACAGTACACTTCAAAGGATCAATATGAACCACAAAGATAAGGGGACATGATTTGAAAAGTACAATGAGAAGTACAAGGACAATACTTCCATGTCTATACGCTGGGTCAGAAGTAGGCAACCTTGGGACCTCCAGATGTTGTGGACTACATCTCCCAAAATGATTTGCCAGCCTTATGACTGGAACAGCCATAATGCTGGCAATGCATCATGTGTCTCTTTCCCCTTCAGCCCCTTCATGTGTCTCCTTCCCGTTCAGCCCCTTCATGTGTCTCCTTCCCCTTCAGCCCCTTCATGTGTCTCCTTCCCCTTCAGCCCCTCCATGTGTCTCATTTTCCCTCAGCCCCTCCATGTGTCTCATTGTCCCTCAGCCCCTCCATGTGTCTCATAGTCCCTCAGCCCCTCCATGTGTCTCATTGTCCCTCAGCCCCTCCATGGGTCTCATTGTCCCTCAGCCCCTCCATATGTCTAATTCCTCCCAGCCTCTCCATGCCTAATTCCTCCTAGCCTCTCGGTGTCTCATTCCCATAGCCCCTCCGTGCCTCTCCTCCCCCCGGCCCCTCCGTGCCTCTCCTCCTCCCAGCCCCTCCGTATCTCTCTTCCCCCAGCCCCTCAGTATCGCTTCTCCCCCCAGCCCCTCCGTATCTCTCCTCCCCCCCAGCCCTCCGTGTCTCTCCTTCCCCAGCCCCTCCATATCTCTCCTCCCCAGTCCCTCCGTATCTCTCCTCCCCCCAGCCCCTCCGTATCTCTCCTCCCCCCAGCTCTTCCGTACCGCTCCTCCCCCAGTCCCTCTGTCTCTCCTCCCCCAGTTCCACTGTGTCTATTCTCCCACCCCTAGTCACTCTGTGTCTCTCCTATCACCCAGTTCCTCTGTGTGTCTCCTCCCGCCCAGTTCCTCCGTGTGTCTCCTTCCCCCCAGTTCCTCTGTGTGTCACATATACTTAAAGGACCACTACAGACACCCAGATCACATCAGCTCAATGAAGTGGTCTGGGTGCCAGGTCCCTCTAGTTTTAACCCTGTAGCTGAAAACAGCAGTTTCAACTGCTATGTTTCACTGAGGGTTAATCTAGCCTCTAGTGGCTGTCTCATTGACAGCTGCTAAAGGAGCTTCCGCGATTCTCACTGTGAAAATCACAGTGAGAAGACGCTGAACGTCCATAGGAAAGCCTTGAGTAATGCTTTCCTATGGGCGGTTTGAATGCGCGCGCGGCTTCTGCCGTGCATGCGGAGCTGAGAGGCGGATCGAGGTGGATGGATCCCCAGCGCCAAGGGAGTCCGGCGCTGGAGAAAGGCAAGTGCTGAAGACACACACTCTCATGAACAGACGCATACACACTAGGTAACAGACACACTCTCACGAACAGATGCATACACACTAGCTAACAGACACACACATTTACTGACAGACACACTCAGTGACAGACATACATACACACTCACTGACAGACACATACACACTCACTTACAAAACACACACTCACTAAGAGACACCAAACAGACTCACTAACAGATGCACACAAACTAACACACTCAGTAACACACACACAAACTAACAGACTCACTGACACACACAAACTAACACACTCACTGACACAAAAACTAACACGAATATGAATATGACGTCATCTTCCGGCTCCGGCATCAGTGCGGCTCGCAAGGGAGATGAAGAGGGAGCACTCAGGGGAGAGTGCTCGCGCGCGCGCCAGCCTGCCCACCCGGTGACACCAGGGCCAGCCTCAGGGGGCCCTTAGGTGGCCGGCTCCTTGACCCCCCTAGGAGAAGAGTCTGGCCACACTGGATACATACCGGGTCACAGCCGCGACACTTTCGACCCCGGTATGTACGCCACTGCCACAGCCCCTATATGTGTCTCAGTCCCCCCAGCCCCTCCACGTACCTCACCCCTTGTGTCCCTGCCTGCATGTCTGGCCCTGATGTAATCTCACTGTATTAACCCCTCATTAACCTTTAGCCTAACCACTTCTAACAATATCTTTAACCTTGCATGCATTTACACAGCCGCATACATGCACTACACTCACACATTACAACTCAATAAAATTAGTAATATGCACATATACAGTTGTCAAATATAAATATATATTTTAGATGTTTTTAGGCAATGTTCAATTAATACATTCATTATACAATTTATATGTTGTTTGTTGGGGGCGTCTTAGAATTTTGTGCCTACAGGCGCCTGACATGTTAATCTGACACATACGCAAACACACACAAACACTTAATTACCTATTCAGTAAATCCTTTTTATGGGAGGGTAATAGAGCTCAGGATTATCAGGATGTTTATGGAATGATACAGGAACGTGTTCTCGAGTTTCTTGTTAAACAGGGTGTGTTACAGCTTGATAAAAGATGCCCAAGTCTGCCTTTTTGTTTAATATTGCGTTACTGATCAAGAGGAGCACACTGGAGGAGAATCACACAGAGGTATGAATTCCGCTTTTTAGAATAAGACAACACCGCAAAAGTGTAGGTTTGCATTTCATTAATACCTTAATGTTTGATACCTGCCGTACTGTATAGTTTAACATTCTGTAAGCAAATTCAATCTCAGACAAGATACAAAGATACTACATTAAGAACGTTATATACTTGCTATGCTAATAATACTTGTTTAAGTGGATGATTATGTCCAGGCTTGGTAAATCCCCCTGTTTTCCTGGGCTTAAATTCTTTTCATAGCACAGGAAAAAGCGGTGCCACATAGAATATAGCATTCATATGCTGCAGCAAAATTATTCTTTACATAACGTTGGTGAATTAATTACTCTGCAATTGAATTATATATATATAGTATATGTTTGCCTTGGTGCAACCCGCATAAAAATATATATAATCCAAGGAGTAAGGGGTGCATTCACACATATTTTCCAAATAATTATTTTATTAATATATACAAAAGATGTCTGTCCCGATCAACGTTTCAACCTGTTTTGGTTCCTTCTCCCACCCACCCCCCCATGTATGCTATTTGCTAGGAGACATAAATGTGTGCAGCCCCCTCTTACATACAAACAATTACATACTTACAGACAAACAGAAATACACACTCACAGATAAACACTACCACGTAAATACAAGCACAGGTCCACACTGCCTTAAATTGTCTCCCGGAAGAGCTGGTTTTATCAATCTGCACATATGTTTAAACAGCAACTCGATAAATACTTGCAAAAACACAATATTCAAGGATATAATTTTTTAACAGTTGGGGTAACAGTTTCTTGATCCAAGGAGGTATCTGACTGCCATTCTGAGGCCGAGAAGGATTTTTAAACTAGTTTGTTGCTAAATTTGAAAGTGTTTCAAACTGGGTTCATGATGCCTTTTATCATTCAACAGCGAAAAAGATTTAAGAAAGGCTGAACTTGATGGATGCAAGTCTCTTTTCAGTCTATGTGACTAAATTGATACAGATTACATACTTGTAAACATAGAAACATACTACCACGCACACACACACACACACACACACACACATACAATATTTGTACCCAGCTCTGTTTTAGCTGCACCCAATTTGCCTACATGCAGAGATGCAGTGGGACTTGATAAAGCCCTGAAGCATAGGGTAAGGTAGGTAAGAAGTCATCGTGGTTAAAATCTCAGACAACCAAAAGTAAGCCCTGTGCTCAAACTCCCACTACTCCTGGGCTGTAGCAATGACTATAGTACACATCCGCCTCCAATACATACAATAAAAAACAAAGAAAAAAGTTACTTGCGCACTATCCTAAATCCCTATGTATCCAATTTAGAACTGAATGGAAGCTTGGGGGTACCCGTCTTTCTGGGGGTAACCCAGATAGCTGGAGAAATTATTAAAGAAAGAACTAGAACGGAGTGCCACAATGATAATAAAACTTAACTTTTATTAGAGAGATCAATAAAAATAAATAATTGATCTATAATGCAAATGTGGTCAAGGTGAAGTTAAAAAAATGGAGATTATACTGGTCTATAAACAGTTATGTCGGTATATCACTACCAATATCCCAGGTAATAGTACCGCAATTGTACTCCTATATACATATGGTAAAGTCTCCTTTATTTGGAATAGTGCAAAGTTATATCTATTAATTGGTTTATATATCGATCTGTGTTTGTTTGCTCAGGTCTGTGGCTTCTCAGTTGAAATTATTGATAATGTAAAATGATGCTTAAATTATTTAAGTGAGTTATCAAAGATGGTGATGTAGCGGAGTAGCAGGGGTTAATCCAATAGCTGGCAACAAAGATTCAGCATACAAAATCACAGGAACACAGCATAATCCACCTCCCCAAGGACTAGACGACACATAGTCTGGGAGTCAACTGATGTCTTTATTCACAGGTCTGCTTTTATGCATTTTTCCCATGCAAGGGAGGTAACTTTCACAATTACTACAGTAACCAATCACACAGTGGTCACCTCCCCTACATCTCCTCCCCTTAGATTAACAATTAACAAGATTAATATGCACACAGTTTTCCCCAATTTGTGAAAATAAATACAGGGGGTACACGGTTGAATGATGGGTCCCCTGGTAGCCCTGCTCTGGGTGAGCAACATACTCAAAATTCACCCAGATCGGACCAGGGGTTCGGGAGTTACAGCAGGTGAAAGATTTGACCGACCGCACGGGCACAGTAGTCGAAAATAGTTGATGCATGAATTCTGGCCCTGCGGTCGGTCTCTTCTGGGGAATAAAAAGTCCCGAAAGTCTATGGCATCCAGGCTTCATTTACCGTTCGAATGAATCCCCTCGTTCGTGGGATTCCACATTCCGAATGCTGAGGTGTTCGTGTGGTTGATTCGTGCCTTTTGAGCGTGCTGGAGGTCTTAGCGGTACTTGGTTAGTCGAATGCCCGGTTTGAGTTCCAGGCGTTCGATGACCAAGTACCGCTGTTCGTGCGTAAGATGGCCGCCGCCACGTGTTCGGTAGGCGAAATGGCGGCCACACACACACTCGCAATTAACACGCTTTGCAACATTGTTGCTTTTGGTAATAGGAGGCACACGACCACACCGGGGTGGTTCCTCGTTCGGTAGTTTCAGAGCATTCACATAGATGATAGTACAGTCCATTGGTGAACCGAGTCTCTGCCTGGGCACACATACGACTATTATAATTCCAGCGTTCATTCACAAAGAAAAGTTAGTATCTTAGTGGCAGGATTTGCCACAGGTGATATTAAAATTTTGCTCTTATGAATAAATGTATTTATATAGCAGAGATTTCCATTGGGATCTATAAATCTGTGCTCATTTGCTCAAGTCTGTGAATACTTTTTTAACACATTTATTCATTTTGATCAGAAGAAGCTGGAACAAGTGATATAAATGCAATGATCCTACAGAACTGTCTGATCGATATTGTCTTGTTTGCTAAGTCACTCTGGGTATTTTTGGTGTATTGACATTAAACAAAAAAATATATATTTTGCCTCTAGTAATACCTTTGTAAAGTTCTTATTAGTGATTAAACTGGTTAATATATCTCTCAATAACCCCCTATAGTGACTAAAATAGAAACAGTTCGGTAGCTAGCTGCTTAGAATCGTTAAGGCTGCTATATTCCCCTTCCGGGCTTCTGATATTTCTCTGTAAGTTTTTTTAAGTTGCTGTTTCCTAAATATTCATTCTAGGGACATGGTAGAAAGAGACATGCTATCCTGAAATGACAGTAGTAATAATAGTCCCCTCACTACCATATCTCTCAAATTGAAATACAGAGGATCCTGAATACCACGCTTGTAAATTGCTGATACACAGATAAGCGCTTGTTAAAGGGACACTATAGTCACCCAGACCACTTTAGCTCACTGAAGTGGTCTGGCAGGGCCGCCACCAGATATTTTGGGGCCCCTAACTCAGCTCAGGGTCTGGGCCCCCCTCCAATCCCGCCCACAGGGTCCGCCTCGAAATCCCGCCCACAGGAATACACACACAGACACAAAAACACACACACTGATACAAAAGGACACATACAGACACAGATAGATACTAACAAACACATATTGAAACATACACACATATACAGGCACAGGGCCGGACTGAGGATACAAAGCAGCCCTGGAAAAAAAAATTATGCCAGCCCCATAAGTCATTGCGCCATATATTGTCACATATAATATGTAAGGTTATGTCTTGCCAACCCACATGATTGAGTAATATATAAACACATACATACAGGTGTGTATATACACATACATACATACACACACACACACACACACACACACACACACAACATAACTATATATTTCCTTTTCTAATATAAAATATTGGTCCTTTTTAGAGTAAAACATTTACTTATACAGTAAGCGAATTCGCATGTAGACACAGACAATCTTACTGACACACACAAGCTCATTGATACACAGCCTCAGACCATGGGCTTGGAACCCCCACAAATATTCACAAATTGCTTTTACTCCAGCAATTCCAGTCACAATTGCCACAGCAGTATCTGTACTGTCTTTACCACTCAGTGCTCTTTACAGCAATGACCTCACAGTACCTCATCAATGCCACTTACTGTATTGTATTGTCACAGTACCTCATCAGTGTCACTTACTGTATTGCCCTGCCACAAAATATCTTACCCCAGCATTGCCCTTTCACAAAATATCTTACCCCAGCACTGCCCTTCCACAAATTATCTTACCACAGCACTGCCATTCCACAAAATATCTTGTCCCATCACTGCCCTGCCACCAAATATTTTACCGCAATACTGCCCTCCTGCAAATTATTTTACCCCAATATTGCCCTTCTGCAGATTATTTTACCCCAGTATAACCCTCCACAGAGGATCTTGCTTCAGCACTGCCTTACCACAGTTTATCATACTACAGCACTGCCCTGCCAAATAGTATCTTACCCCACCACTTTCCTGCCACATAGTATTTTACCCCACCACTTTCCTGCCACATTGTATTTTACCCCTACGCTTTCCTGCCATAGATGATCTTACATCAGCAATGCCCTGCCACAGATTTTACCCCATCACTGCCTTGCCACATATTATTTTACCCCAGCACTGCCCTGTCAGATTATTTTACCTCAGCACTGCCCTGTCACATATTATTTTACCCCAGCACTGCCCTGTCACATTACTTTACCCCAGCACTGCCCTGTCACATATTATTTTACCCCAGCACTGCCCTGTCACATATTATATTAACCCAGTACTGCCCTGTCACATTATTTTACCCCAGCACTGCCCTGTCACATTACTTTACCCCAGCACTGCCCTGTCACATATTATTTTACCCCAGCACTGCCCTGTCAGATTATTTTACCCCAGCACTGCCCTGCCACATATTATTTTACCCCAACACTGCCCTGTCAGATTATTTTACCCCAGCACTGCCCTGTCACATATTATATTAACCCAGCACTGCCCTGTCACATTATTTTACCCCAGCACTGCCCTGTCACACATTATTTTACCCCAGCACTGCCCTGTCACATTACTTTACCCCAGCACTGCCCTGTCACACATTATTTTACCCCAGCACTGCCCTGTCACATTACTTTACCCCAGCACTGCACTGTCACACATTATTTTACCCCAGCACTGCCCTGTCACATTACTTTACCCCAGCACTGCACTGTCACATATTATTTTACCCCAGCACTGCCCTGTCACATTATTTTACCTCAGCACTGCCCTGTCACATATTACTTTACCCCAGCACTGCCCTGTCACATTATTTTACCCCAACACTGCCCTGTCACATTACTTTACCCCAGCACTGCCCTGTAACAGATTATTTTACCCCAACAGTAGGCTTGATACCCTGTCACAAAGAGATCTTAAATGTTCAGTTGATCACAATAAGTATTTTAAGAGCCCTATCACAGTGCAATCTTACCTGTTAAATGCCCTGTCACACTAACTCCTTACTCCAGCAAACCTTGTCATGGAGGGAAGGGAAGCCACCTGCCTGCCGCTATACTGTGCAGTGTAGAGCCGCCGCCGAGCAGCCGCTGGATATGGCGTCATATGCCTCTCACATCCGGTGACTGGCACAGAAGCAGCCGCGGCCACATGGAGGACGAACTCCACATATTTTCCTACCTTGTGTCCGCGTGCAGTCACATCTCAAAGCGGCCCAGGGCCGGCGGCCTACCAGGAAATTTCCCGGTATCCCGGTAGGCCAGTCCGGCCCTGCACAGGCATACATAGTGACAGACACATACTAACATACATACAGACACACATGCATGAGGACATACACATACATACACCGACATACATACACACAGACATATATTCATTCTGGCATACATACATATATACATACATACAGACATCCATTCATACAGACATCCATTCATTCAGATAGACATACATACACACATACATACATACACAGATATATATACATACATACATTCATACATACTGACATACATGCATACTGACATTCATACACACATACACACGTTTATAATGACATGCAGACATACATTCATAATGACATACATATATACATACATACATAATGACAGGGGTCCTCAAACTTTTTAAACAGGGGGCCAGTTCACGGTCCCTCAGACACTGTTGGGGGCCGGACAATAAACAATATGAACAAATTCCTATGCACACTGCACACACACGCATAAGGACATAAATACACACACACACACTGACATACATACATAAACAGACATATACAGACATATACATACATATTGAAATACATACAGATACATACAGACAGACATGCATACATACACATACTGACTTACACACACACACAGACATACATACATACATACACAAACATACATACATACATACTAACACACATACATACTAACATACATACATACTAACATACATACATACACACACATACATACATTCTAACATACATACATACTAACATACATACACATACATACACACAAACATACCTACATACTAACATACATACACACATACATACTAACATACATACATACATACACATACATACTAACATACATACACACATACATACATACTAACATACATACATACTAACATACATACAAACTAACATACATATTAACATACATACACACATACATACTAACATACATACACACTAACATACATACTAACATACATACACACATACATACTAACATACATACACACTAACATACATACATACATACTCATATACATACACACAAATACATATGGACATACATACATACACATACATACATACTAACATACATACACATACATACACACAGTGGTGTATCCTGGTTTTGTGCTGCCCTAGGCAGGACAAAACTCAGGTGCCCTCCTCCCCCCGCGCCACCCACACCCAACCCTTTCCCCCCGCCCCACCTTCTAAATACACACACACACACACACTAACAGACACACACACACACACACACACACAAACACCCACACACACACACACACACACACACACACACACACACACACACAGGACACACACACACACAGTCAGACACAGACACAGTCAGACACACACACACAGTCAGACACACAGACAGTCAGACACACACACACACACACAGTCAGTCAGACACACACAGTCACGGTCGGACACACACACGGTCAGTCAGACACACACACACACACAAACACACAGTCAGACACACACACACACGGTCAGTCCAGACACACACACACACACACAACACACAGTCAGACACACACACACAGTTAGACACAAACACACAGTCAGACACACACACTCCCCTCCCCCAGCCTTACCTTACCTTTGGGAGTGCTGGGGGGAGGGGTTCCTCTTTCTCCCTGGTGGTCCAGTGGCTGCCGGTCGGGCTGATGGGTTGGCTGATGGGCGCTGGGCTGCGCTGGCGAGGGAGCTCAGTTCCCTCGCGCACCGCAGAGTGAGGCTGGGAGCCGGAATATGACGTCATCAACCCGGCTCCCAGCCTCACTCTGCGGTGCGCGAGGGAGCTGAGCTCAGAGGAAGAGCTCCCTCGCCAGCCTCCTGCCCGACCATCAGCCAGCGCCGCCCGCCAGCCCAGTATGTCAGTTAGCCGCGAGGCCCTGGGCATTTGGGGGCGGCGTTTTTTGCCGCCCCCTAAAAAATGCCACCCAAGGCAAATGCCTTGTTTGCCTCGCGGCTAATACGTCCCTGCATACACACACATACATACTAACATACATACACACACATACATACTAACATACATACATATACATACTAACATACATACACATACATACTAACATACATACACACACACAAACATACTAACATACATACATACACACACACACTAACATACTAACATACAGCTAATTTTGCTTACCTTTTTTTTGCAGGTGGAAGGCTGTGGCTGATGGGAGTCAGCGTGGCTCCCGTGGCCTGGCTTTCTTCCCTCCCGCGTGGCGCGGAGGTGAGGGAGCTGGGACGAAGTGACGGCCACTTCTTCCCAGCAGTACTTTGCGGCTGAGATTTTTTTAAAGGGGCCCGGTCGCGCTATTGCACGGCCGCAGCGCTGACCGGGCCCCTGAAGATATAGGGCCCATCGGGTGGCCCTAAGTGCGTGGGCCATCCGATAGGCCCCCAACAGCGTGCGGGCCCTGGTGCAACTGCACCGGCGGCAGTTCCGCCGCTACACGTGGGGCCCGTTATGGTTGTCACCCCCTGATGGCGGCCCTGGGTCTGGGTGCCCTTCAGATGTAAACATAACAGTTTCAGAGAATTGCAGGGTTAATCCAACCTCTAGTGGCTGTCTTCCTGACAGCAGCTAGAGGCACTTCTGCGACGCTGGATGTGAAATTCGCATCCAGCATGCAGAACGTCCATAGGAAAGCATTAAGAAATGCTTTCCTATGGACTGTTTGAATGTGTGCGCGGCTCTTGCCACGCATGCGCATTCCGCTCCACTCGGGAACCGACGCCGGAGGGGGAGGAGAGGTCACCAGTGCCGGTGCTGGATTAATGTAAGTAACTGAAGGGGTTTTAACCCCTTCACCGCCATGGAAGGGGGGCCCTGAGGGTGGGAGGGTCCTAAGGATGCTCTAGTGTTTCCTGACACTATAGTAATCCTTTAAATAAATATGTCAAGTGGATACATATTGGTTACATAGATGTATCAAATGTAACTACAAGTTTCCAGAGCTTGGAGTCCTGATTTAAATACACCCACTGTTCCTAGTCGAATGATAGATTCTAAGATAAAGCTATCCACCAGAATTACAGATAGCTCTTAGTAGCAAGTACATCGATTTTAAATAAATATCGCACAGATCAATATAGATATAAATTTTTGTCAAGTAGCAAAGTCTCGGGATCCTGGTTAGAGAAACTAACTAGTTCTGGTCTTATGATAATTGCTAAGATCTAACTGTCTACCAGGATCACCGAGAGCCCTTAACTTCACCTTGAGCACATTTGCATTATATATAATGTATTTATTTTTCTAAATCCCTACACACTTATTAACCCTTAATGGGGAACACATAGGGGCTCATTACTGTAACATGACTCTGTAATAGAGAAGCAAATACAAAAATACATAATTAAGACCTTAACGTGGCATGTGAATTTACACTTGAATAATAGGGATTTGGGATAGTGCCCAAGTAACTTTTTTTTGTTTTTTATTCTATGTTTTGGGGCTGATGTGTACTATAGTCATTGCATACGCGCAAGATTAGTGGGAGTTTGAGCGCAGTGTCAGTCAGATATGCAAGAATGGGAATTGGAGAGAGGGCGATGTCTCTGTCCCCCCCCCCCACCTCCAAATATGAATTGGGAGGAAAAACAGAAATAATGGGACCCTCTAACATACAAAAGATATATATTTTTTTAATGTTGGAGCATTCCTTAACGTTCACAGTACACCCCGATCGACCCACATGCTTTAAAAACAATAAAAAAACTTTGTTTACCCTGTAGTATGTCACATTTATATGCTGCAGGATGAAAATAGTCTATCATGGTTATTCACTAAAACGAGAATTAAAAATGAATTTTAAATTTAAGACCAAAATTGTTGAACTGAAGCATAGCCAAATAAGAGAATTTTTCCAGGTCGGCTGTTTTGACCTTAAGTTTTAAATTCACTTTGTATTCTCACTTTGGTGAACAACCCTGTATTTGTATACGTATTACTTTATAATGCAAAATAAGATTTAACCCATTATGACTCGCCTACCATTCCCTAATCCTCAGGGCTTCCTTTTGTCCACTGCATCTCTGGGGAGGGATTGTACACTGATCAGCCACAATATTAAAACCACTGTCAGGTGAAGTGAATAACATTGATTATATCGTTACAAGGGCACCTATATTAGGCAGCAAGTGAACAGTCAGTTTTTTAATTTCATGTGTTGGAAGCAGGAAAAATGGGCAAGTGAGAAGATTTGAGTGACTTTGACAAGGGCCAAATAGTGATAGCTCGATGACTGTGTCGGAGCATCTCAGAAACGGCAAGTCTTGTAGGGTATTCCCGCTAGGCAGTGGTTAGTACCTATCGAAAGTGGTGCAAGGAAGGACAACCGGCGAAACAGCGTCAGGGTCATGAGGAAGATATAGCAGCAGGATGCACTATGGGAAGAACGCAGGCCGACAGAGGCAGTGTTATGGTCGGGGAAAGCTTTGCTGGAAAACCTTGGGTCCTGGCATTCATGTGGATGTTACTCTGACATGTACCACCTAGCTAGAAACTGGTACAGACCACGTACACCCCTTCATGGCATGGTGTTCTCTAATAGCAGTGACCTCTTTCAGCACGCTGATGCACCCAGCCACACTGCAAAAATTGTACAGAGATGGTTTGAGGAACATGACAGTGTTCACCGTAGTGCCTTGGCTTGGAAATTCCCCAGATTTCAATCTGACTGAGCATCTGTGGGATGTGCTGGAACAGCAAATCTGTTCCATGGAGGTCCCACATCGCACCTTGCAGGATGTAAAGGATCTGCTGCTAATGTCTTGGTGCCAGATACCACAGGACACATTAAGAGGTGTTGTGATGTCTTCGGAGCTGTTTTGGCAGCATGAGTGGGACCTACATGATAACAGGCAGCAGGTTTTAATGTTGTGGCTGATGGGTGTATAACACCATCTCTCTCATGTCCTTAAACTGCAATAAATGTGATTAGAAATCATTCTGTGCAAATAGGACACATTATTCTTGTTCTAAATTACAGTTTAGTTGCAAAAATTATTAATAAGTCACCTGAAATTCCTCAGAGCAGCCTCGCCCTGAAAGTAACAATCTATCTTTAAATTCTCAACGTTAATCGAGAATGCTGATGGAAAATCCATTCCCACTTTGAAACTGTAGGGTCTTATTCACAAAACATAAGTTGGATATTTTTTTCAAAGCAACCACCCCTTGATTTAATTACAACAATTCTAAACCTATTTTTTTTCCATGTTTTATTCCATAGATTGTTCTACATCATAATCTTTCTGAAAATCGAATTCCTAATAATCTGAATAATGTCCGCAATGATGACCCAGTCTTGCCTGCCACTCTCTCATGAGACACAAATATACGGGAAAATTAAGACCGTTGGGACACTAGCTGTAGGCAAAGATGTGAATGTTGTTTTATCAGTTACAAACCCAACAGATATACCAAAGGATTTGAACATTAAAATCAGAGCCTGCTCAATCATTTACACCAGGAAGGAAATACACGAGCTCTTGAATGAATGCAAGAAACTTCACGTGAAACCCAAAGAAGGTAAATTTACATTATAAGTTCTATAAATTAAAAATTTTTTAATTTTAATTCTCACCATAGGTATGTATTGTAAATGTGTAATATAAGTATTGCAGAATGATATACATGCAATCTCCCACTTAAAGGACCACTCTAGGCACCCAGACCACTTAAGCTTAATGAAGTGGTCTGGGTGCCAGGTCCCTCTAGGATTAACCCCTTTTTTTAATATGTTTTTTAATATTTTTTATATGTTTATGTTAGGGTTAATCCAGCCTCCAAATCCTCTAGTGGCTGTCTTATTGACAGCCGCTAGAGGCGCTTGCGTGATTCTCACTGTGAAAATCACAGTGAGATCACGCCAGCGTCCATAGGAAAGCATTGTAAATGCTTTCCTATGAGACCGGCTGAATGCGCGCGCAGCTCTTGCCGCGCGTGCGCATTCAGCCGAAAGGGAGGAGACGAGGAGGATCGGAGGCAGAGAGCTCCCTGCCCGGCGCTGGAAAAAGGTAAGATTTAACCCCTGAGGGGTGGGGGCACCCTCAGGGCACTATAGTGCCAGGAAAACGAGTATGTTTTCCTGGCACTATAGTGGTCCTTTAAGCTTTCTATTTCCTGCTAATGGTTCTGTTGCATTAGGTGCATCAAAACTACAATTAAGGCAAGACAGAATTCCATGAACCCACAAATTCTATGGCATTCTAAATTATTACTAGAGGCGTGATGTTTGTGCAACATCAGTTCAAACAGATTGTAGGAGTTAGACAGGGCCGGACTGGGAATTAAAAGCAGCCCTGGAAAAAAAATATTTACCAGCCCCATAATGCATCGCGCCAGCATAGTGTGCAGATACAGAGTTAGAACAGATAACTTAAAATTAAAAAGTACTTCAACGTAAAAAGCGCACTAATAGGCTTCAAAATAAACAAAAGTGCAGATTTATTTTAAGCAGACGTGCCTTTGCATGTAATCAATGTTTCAGTCCAACTACCTTGACATATTAAGGAAAGCTTGTTAATGGGACTGAAATGGTGAATGTATGTAGGGCACAACTGTAAAAATGTTTTATTTTGAAGTCCTGTGGGTGTGCTCTTCACTTTAAATATGTTATTATGCTGGAGTATGCACCTAGCATCAAGACTGGGCCAATATCTGCTCATTACATATGGTACATATTAATGAAATTTCTCTGTGTATTATGCATTTATAAATGTACATTAATATGTGTAAATATAATATATATATAAATATAACTAATATACACATTAATATACATGTCATATACTAGTGGCGGATCCAGAGCCTGAGCCTGAGAGGGGCACTTGTAGATTATTTAAAGAAATATTCCATGCACAATAACCACTACTTCTCTGTGTAGTGGTTATGGTGCCAGGAGCGTCGGCACCCCCTCCCAGAGTAAGTAGTCAAACCGTTTAAGAACAGTTTGACAACTTACCTGGAGTCTGCTGGGATATGGGGCTGTAGTAGGGTATAGGAGCAGTGGTGCAATGTGTGTGAAAGGTTCAGTGTGTGGTGGGCAGTGTGTAAATGTGTATGGTGTGTGTGTGTGGGGGCAGTGTGTGAATGTGTATGGTGTGTGTGTGTGGGGGGCAGTGTGTGTATGGGGCTAGAGTTCACTCCTACTACTGGGACCACCAGGAAGTGGTGAGAGTGAACTCTAGCCCGTAGCTCCAGGGCTAGAGTTCACCCTCGTGAGAGCCGGAGCATTGCCCCAGGTCCTCTCTTTCTCCCCTGCCGACTGGCTGAACGGTGCCGGCCAGCAGGGGAAAGCGTTGCCCCCCCATCCACCAGTGATATATACTGCCCCTATGTGTGTCTCTTTATCTCCAGCCCCTCTGTGTGCCTTTTTGTCTCCCCCAGTCACTCTGTATGTTTCTTTTTCCCCCTCACTGCTCCTCTGTGTCAATGTCTCCCCTCTCCTTCCCAGTCTCTCTCTCCCCCCTCTGCCTCTTTCTTCCCCTCCCCTTGTGTGTCTCTCTCTCATTTCTCCCTCTTTGTCTCTCTCTTCCCCTCTGCCTCTTTCACCCCCTTTCCCTGTGTCTCTTCCTCCCCCTTTCCCTGTGTCTCTCCCTCCTCTCCATCTCTCTCCCTTCCCCCTTTCCCTGTGTCTCTCCCCATCTCTCTCCCTCCCCCCTTTCCCTGTGTCTCTCCTCCTCCCATCTCCCTCTCCCCTTTCCCTGTGCCTCTCTCCATCTCTCCTCTCCCTCCTTCCCCTGTATCTCCCCATCTCCTCTCCCCTTTCCCCTGTGCTCTCCCTCCTCCCCATCTCCCACCCTCCCCCTTTCCCCCTGTGTTCCTTCCCATCTCTCCCTCTCCCCCTTTCCCTGTGTCTCCCCTCCTCCTATCTTCTCCCAATCTCTCTCCCTGTGTCTCTCTCCCTCCTCCCATCTTCTCTCTCCCCTTTCCTGTGCTCCTCCCTCTCCTCCCCATCTCTCCCTCCCCCTTTCCCTGTGCTCCTCCCTCCTCCCCATCTCTCCCTCCCTTCCCTGTGTCTCTCCCTCCTCCTCCCTCCCTCTCTTTTCCCTGTGTCTTCTCCCTACTTCCTCTCCCTCCTCTTTCCTGTGTTCTCTTCCCTCTCCCCTCTCCTGTGTGTCTCTCCCTCCCTCCCTCTCCCTCTCTTTCCTGTGTTCTCCCTATCTTCCTTCCCTTTCCTGTGTTCTCCTCTATCTCTCTCCCTCCACCTCTTTTCCCTGTGTCTCTCTATCTTCTCTCCTCTTTTCCTGTGTTCTCTTCCTCTCTATTCCTTCTCTCTCTTTTGGCTTGGGGCTGCCAGCTTCGGCTGGTGTTTGGCTTAAATACAAAGGAGGGAGGAGGAGGCCTTCTGTACTATGCCTCGCGTTCTCTCGCACAGACATGCTCTCTCCATCAACAGCTGCTGCAGTGACAGAGCAGGGCCACCGGACTGGGAAGCCTACCCGCCCGCGGCTCCTGTGCCAGGAACGCGGGCGGCCCCCAGGTGCCGTGGCCCACCGGGAAATTTCCCGGTATCCCGGTGGGCCAGTCCGGCCCTGGAGTTAGAGGAGCACGATGGACACTGCAACCAATTTAATAAAATGCTATCCCTCCATTCAGTGTTAAATTTACAAGCAGTGTATGAGGGTTCATGGCCACCCAAAGCCTGTCCACCATTGGAGTTATGGCTAAGACAGAGTTTACACACTTCTTTAGCCATACCAATTCATACCAACAATGGTGATCTTGACAGGGTGAAAGCAGTCAGCTAACCCTCTCAGACAATAACTAGCATCCGTTGCTGCTCAGACTAATGCTCCCCTCATTAGCCTAAGCAGGGATTGGGCTGCTGGGGACTTTCATTCAGCATTAAGTCATTGTGGCAGCCTATTCATGGGAGACCCATGCGTTGCCGCCAAGGGCTCCCTTTCATTCGTGATTATAGCTGTATAGCACGCTCACCCAAACACTAGCCAAAACTTAGTGAAGGGTGAAGAAGAATTGTTTTATTTGGGTCAAGTGCCTTTAAAAAGATTCGGTCACCAAAAGGAGGCCAACAGGGATACAGGGATACAGTACCTGGTGCCTGGTCTGTACCTAACCAGATAATTTTATTAGCAGCCAGACACCTAGGCACGCCCACTCTGTCAAAAAAGCACTCAGATCAGGAGGTGTCTAGAGTTAGCTAGAAGTAAAGTTTTGACTGGGGCTAGACTGTCCTCCAGAGTTCTGTGGAACTCTGGATGAAAAATCACGGTCACATGAAATTATGTCGGGTTACGTCAGTAAATGAAGCTCCCTCAAGTCCTGGTAACATTCGATACCTCACCACCCTCTCTATCACCCCTCCAAATAGCGCTCTGGCAGGTGACTCCCCGACTGAGATTGCCCTTGAGAAAGTTTAACCCGGAGTTCCAGTGAGTTTGTGTGTTGCTCCCGGTCAGGCGCCTCTTTGACTTTCCTCCTGGTCTGTGATGATTCCTGGAAAGGGGTGCTGTGCTGGAAGGCATGGGCTGGAAGGGTAAATGTTAGGATTATAGTCCTTTTTTATCAGTCCTGGGTGACTGAAAGCATTGGTTTATCCCTAAAAGGAAGGTTGATGCCAAAGGGACTCCAGATTATGAAACCACTTCAATGAGATGAAGCGCTTACACTGCCTATTGTGTTCCTTTAATATTGGATGGACCTATAAAATCCATTATGCAACTTAAAATGGGTTTGATTTTTTTGACTCCACTAAAACCAGAAATGCAATGACAATTCTCTAGGCTCAGACTTTCTTTTCAGGTTATTTCTCATTTCTAAAGAGTTGTCTGCTCTCCTGATCGAAGTCAACTATTATAATTATATCCCAGATTACTGTTTCACTAAGATTTTTTTTTTTTATTGTCTCACAGTGGGCAAATCGTTCAGATTATCTCATATCAGGGCCCAGATTTTAACAATCAGATTTCAGAGTTCAGATTTGAGCTGTCTGGCAGTGTTCGGCATGGCTGCATTCTGGACCGAATGTAGGCTTGTTTAGAGCATGCTCTGCAAAATCTAGATATTGTTTTACAGACATTTGTTCCAAATGGCCCCATACAAAATGGACTGTTTTTGCCTATTCAGTACAGGAACATTCTAAAAAGTCCAGATATATAAATATTTTTTTTTATTTTGACAACTTTTTGTGACATTGAACTTTCATCAAAGCTACCGTTGGGGCCTCACATATGATCCAATTATGTAAAATAGTTTTCATGGCAGTATAACGAATGTTTAAACCCAAATTAAATCTTGGTTGTTGGAGGTGGTTCATGGAGATGGTAGGGTCCAAAGGATAGATTAAAGTAAAAAGTTTGTCTGTCTTTAGAGGATATTAGAATAGCTAGCACCTGCAAACGGTACATGAGTTTTGTAAGGATTCAGGGCCGGACTGGGGATACGAAGCAGCCCTCGAAAAAAATCTATGCCAGCCCCATAAGTCATTGTGCTATGTAGGGTGTTTATATATATATATATATATATATATATATATATATATATATATATATACACACACACATATACAATTGAAATAGTTGGCTGCACTCTCGGATTTCCTGAAAATGTAACTTTTATTGAAATATTTAAGAGAAGATCAATGTTTCAGTCCCTCTTGTGGACTTTCGTCATGATCCTGATGCAAGTCCACAAGAGGGACTGAAACGTTGATCTTCTCTTAAATATTTCAATAAAAGTAAAATTTTAAGGAAATCCGAGAGTGCAGCCAACTATTTCAATTGCCTATATATATACTGGATACTGGAGCCCTGGTGATGCAACAGTGTGTGTGTATATATATATATATATATATATATATATATATATATATATATATTTATTTTTTTATTGATACATTTCTTCTTCTAATTCAAAATATTAGTTCTTTTAGGGTAATTAAATTATACAGTAAAGCATACTCACACACAGACAGACAAAACTGATGCACATAAATAGGCTCATTGACAATGACACACACAGACAAGGTTACTGGCGCACACACAAATTTAGTACAGACAAACTCTGATACACACACACAAGCTTACTATAGACAAGCTCACTGTCACACACACACGCTCACTACAGACAAGCTCACTGATGCGCACACACTCTCCCTACAGACAAGCCCATTGACACACACGCTCCCTACAGAAGAGCTCACTAACACACAGATTCACTACAGACAAGCTCACTGACACACACATGCTCACTACAGACAAGCTCACTGACACACATATGGTCACTACAGACAAGCTCACGATCACACTCATGCTTACTACAGACAAGCTCACTGTACACACATGCTCACCACAGACAGGCTCCGACACACCCATGCTCCTTACAGACAAGCTCACTAACACACACACACATATGATCCCTACAGACAAGCTCACTGACACACATACAAGCTCACTCACTAGCAGGCACACACAAACTCACTAGCAGGCACACACACACACACACACACACACACACAGACAGAGACTCCCTCACTAGCAGATGTGCGCACACACACACAGAGGCAGACAGTCACTGACACCCAGGCAGACAGCCACACACACACACACACAGGCAGACAGTCACTGACACCGAGGCAAACACCCACACATACAAAGACAGGCAGACAGCCACACACATACACAGACAGACAGCCACACACTCACACAAACACACACACACAGGCAGACAGTCACGCACACACAGGAAGACAGTCACGCACACACAGGCAGACAGTCACGCACACACACAGGCAGACAGTCACGCACAGACAGTCACACACTCACAGACAGTCACACACTCACGTGGAGGGCAAGTTTTGCACCAGGGTCCTGTAGTTTCTGGTTACGCCTCTGTTTCCAACCTTATTGATATGAAGGAGAATACAAGAGTAAGGGAATTATGAGGTTGGAGAGGATAGGGTATTATGGGAGCCTCCTGTTGCAGATTTGCCTCAGGCCTCACTAAATCTAGAGTCACCTCCTTCTATTTCTTGGCATACCTATGGCAAGAGTGAGAATGTTATTTAACACCAGCTGTCCTAGTAATTATAAAATGAAACATGAAGTTAATGCAATGGCTTGAGTTATGACTTTACTACCCTGCAATTGTATGATTTATTATGGCAGGAAGTACAGCTTAATAAAACACATTAGTCAGTGGATTGGTCATGCCGTTTATGCATTGACCTATGGTCACACAATTGACTAATTTAAAAAAAATTAAAATATAGACCTAGAGGTTCCAGCCTTCAAGTGTCTGTGCTAATTCATCCAGAAGAAGGAATCTAAAGCTATGAAACATATTAAAGGGACACTGTAGTCACCAGAACAACTACAGCTTATTGAATTTATTCTGGTGAGTAGAATCATTACCTTCAGGCTTTTTGCTGTAAACACTGTCTTTTCAGAGAAAATGCAGTGTTTACATTACAGCCTAGTGATAACTGAACTGGCCACTCCTCATATGGCAGTTAGAGATCCTTCCTGGGTCATGGCTGCCTAAAATGCATCCAAACATTCAGTATCTCTTCCCTCTGCACGCAGACACTGACCTTTCTTCATAGAGATTCATTGATTCAATTCATCTCTATGAGGAGATGCTGATTGGCCAGGGCGGTGTTTGAATCATGCTGGCTCTGCCCCTGATCTTCCTCCTTATCAGTCTCAACCAATCCTATGGGGAAGTACTGTGATTGGATCAGGCTACCACTTCTGAAACAGGGACAAAGCCTGCAGCTTCTGGCTTGAATACAAGTAAGATTTTACTATTTTTAGGGACGCATAAGGGGCCTAGGGGGGCTAGATGTTGGTTTTAACTCTACAGGGTCAGGAATACATGTTTGTGCTCCTTTAATGCAATTTATTTTTTTAGTTGCAAACTTCTCTCCAGCATTTCAGACAGGACAGAGCTATTCACTAAACTGAGAATTGCTGGGCAATCACAGCACGTTTAAAATTTTAGGCCAAAATAGCCAAACTTGAAAAGTTCTCCAAGTCATTTATGTTTCCACTTTGGCTACTTTGACCTTAAATTTGAAATTTATTTTGAATTCCTGACAGACTAACACAGAGTGAAGTCACCAGAAGAGTCAAGTGCCAGCAAAGAAAAAATAGGAAGGTGTAGAACATTGCACCAACAACAAACTGAATTCTAAACAAATTGATACATTTCCATTTAAGGACATTTGCTGCAAAATCTGGGTTAAAGGACCACCCTAGGCACCCAGACCACTTCAGCATAATGAAGTGGTCTGGGTGCCAGGTCCTTCTAGGATTAACCCTTTTTTTTTTATATAAACATAGCAGTTTCAGAGAAACTGCTATGTTTATAATAGGGTTAATCCAGCCTCCAAATCCTCTAGTGGCTATCTCATTGATGCATTCAGCCGAAAGGGAGGAGAGGAGGAGGATCGGAGGTGGAGAGCTCCCCGCCCGGCGCTGGAAAAAAGGTAAGTTTTAACCCTTTCCTCTCCCCAGAGCCCGGCGGGAGTTGGACCCTGAGGGTGGGGGGTATGTTTTCCTGGCACTATAGTGGTCCTTTAAGCTTCTGAGCCATGTAAACTCCAGCTTTTTTAATGCCATAAACATACTGATTTCAACAGAAACACACTGTTTTGTAATATAAAACAAAATCTATGTGTTTGTTACAATAATATATATTTGAAACAAATGCCGACTGTTTTGAGTCCATGGTGCAAACTTTTGAAGTGTACAGTGGGATTTAAGTCTGCTATTGCGTATAAGAAATATAGCATTAAAGGATCATTATAGTGTCAGGAAAACGAGTCACTATATAATCCTTGGTGTCCCCCCAATCTCAGGACCTCACTCCCGCTGGGCTGAAGGGGTTAAAACCCCTTCGGCCACTTACCTTAATCCAGCGCCAGGCTCCCTCAGCGCTGGTGACCTCTTCTTCCCCTCCAAAGTCAGCTCCCGAGTGGCACCGAATGCGCATGTGCGGCCAGAGCGGCGCGCACATTAAAAAACGCCCATAGGAAAGCATTTTTATTAATGCTTTCCTATGGACGTTCAGCATGCTCAATGTGACTTTCGCATTGAGCGTCGAGGAAGCGCCTCTAGCGGCTGTCAGGAAGACTGCTACTAGAGGCTGGATTAACCCTGCAATGTAAACAAAGAAGTTTCTCTGAAACTGCTATGTTTATATCTGAAGGGTTAAAACCTGGGGGACCTGGCACCCAGACCACTTCATTGAGCTGTAGTGGTCTGGGTGAATATAGTGGTCCTTTAACAAATTAGATTGTTTTTACATCCTATCCTTTGTCTGAATTGCTAATTCAGTTAGAACATCTACTAAATTAGAACTCCTAAATGTCTGTCTATCCATCCATCTTTCCATTCACCTAGTATGACATTTGAAGAAAGAAATAAAGAAAATAATTCACTAAACTTGGTGCTTGGTGAAGAATCCCATAAAAGTCATGTTTTGCTAAATATCGTGGAAGTCATGCTACAATGCTTGTTTCTAATTTGCAGAGAAGGAGATGCCAGTAACCATAACATATAGCCAGTACGATGGACTCTTGACTGCAGATAACATGATCGAAGTGACAGCTATCTGTTCAAGTGAAAAAACCAATGAGACAGTGCTGATACAAACCGACATCGTCTTAAAAAATCCAACAATTGAAATAAAGGTAATATTAAAAATTTATAGCACATACAGTTGCAATCCAAATTATTAAATCCACATTGAAAATCTGATTTATTGTCAACATTTACAGACTTTCAGCTGTTTGCAGTGAACAAATCAAACACATGCAATTGAAATAGCTCAACACAACTGATGCTTGAAGTGGTTTCCCCAAAATGCAACTTATGACTTCTCCAGTTTCAAAATTATTCAATCCTCTGAATAGAATCTGTCACAATGCACAAATATGCAAAACAGGTGTTGTCTCAAGCACACATGATGCAAATAATTAAGGGCTTCATTAGTTGCACCAGGTGTGCCTGAGATGCAATACTTGAAATAGTTGAACTGACTAGGGGTTTGTTAAGTGTCACATTTAACTGCATGTTAGAAATATGGCTAAGTCAAAAGAATGGTCTACAAAGTTAAGAGATCATCGCCCTTCACAGACATGGAACAGCATACAAAACGATAGCGAAGGCACCATATGTTCCTAGAGTTACCGTTGAGAGTGTAGTTTGCAAGTTCAAAGTTGAAGGAACAGTGGTTACACTACCTGGATGGGGCAGAAACAGGAAGCTTTCAATGGCGGCAACCAGATTTCTAAGAAGGCAGGTTATAAAAAACTCTCGAGTGACTGAAAAAGACCTGCAGCAAGACTCGGTGGCCACAGGCACTGATGTTTTAATGAGTACAGTAAGGTGTGCACTAAACCCAAACGATTTCCATGCCAGAACTCCAAGACATACCACTACTGACTCAAATGCACAAGAAAAGTCAAGTCCAATGTGCTTAAAAGTCATATAAATAAGCCACAGAAGTTTGGGGTTCGGTGGAGCATTAAACAAAACTGAAAGGCCTAATGGATAAAGAAGAATGAAGTATACTCCTAAAAGAACACTCTGCCTACAGTTAAGCATGGTGGTGACTCGGTGATGCTCTGGGGCTGCTTTGCATCCTCTGGCACTGAAAACCTGCAGCGTGTGGAAGGCGAGACGGATTCATTAAAGTATCAGGAAATCCTAGGATAAAACATCATGCCATCTGTGAGGAAGCTGAAGCTTGGGTGTCTTTGGACCTTCCAACAAGACAATGATACCAAGCATATCTCAAATTCCAACAAAGCATGGCTGTAGAAAATTCTACAGTGGCCATCACAGTCATCTGACTTGAACCCCATTGAAAATCTCTGGTGGGATTTGAAGAAGGCGGTTGCAGCACGCAAACCCAAGAATATAACTGAATTGTAGGTCATTGCTCATGAGCAATGGGCTACGATTTCTCAGAACCAGCTGGTGTCTGACTATGAATATCGTTTGCAGCAGGTCATAACAGCAAAATTGTGCTCTACTTAGTACTAACGATGTTTGCCATGAAGGGGTTTGAAACTGAAGAAGTCATTATAAGTTGCATTTTTAGCTGAATTTGGGAAACCACTTGAAGCCCTTGTTGTGTCGAGCTATCTCAATTGTTTTTGTTTGATTTGTTCATTGCAAACAGCTGAAAGTCTTTAAATTGTGACAATAAACCTGATTTTCCATGGGGGTTGAAGTATTTTGATTACAACTGTATGTTCATGATGGCGCTTTGTGACTTTCTGTAATGCTGTTTATTCATTGTTGTAGCTCGTAGTCGCTTAATTTTCCTATTCATGGTTTTTCATTATTGCCCAGGGCAGGATTTGCCAGTAGGCAGGTAAAGGCGGATGCCAATAGACACTTATCTGCTAGATGTTCCCACCCATCCACTCCTTACTTACACTGGTAGTGGTAAAGAAATCCCATTTGTGGCTTTCTTGTGGATTATTGTGCCAGCAGGTGCCCAAAATGCAAATCTAGCCTGCCTTATGTCTCTTTTCGACTGGGACACATACCCAGAGGCTCCTTTAGAGTTCTAAACCAATAAATCCCCAAACAAGTATATAACAGGTGCTTCGCAGTAGAAAATAATAAATAAATCAAATTATTTTAAAATCAACTCTTAGCTGCTTCCAACACTCTTCTAACACAATATACAGTGATAACATAAATAGAAATAAAAAATTCGAGTGGAGCGCTTCAGTGCAAATCACCTTACTAAAGTGATGTCCTGCTTAGTGTGGATTAACACTACACCCCAAAAGTGTATGGTCCCAGCAAAACCTGCTCCACCAATGTCTGCTGGTGAAGTATCTCTTAATACCGAGTTTCCCTGAAAATAAGACTGGGTTTTATATTCATTTTTTCCCCCCCGGAAAATGCACGAGGGCATATTTTCGGGAAAAATGTTGGTAGAAAGCAGGTCTATGTTCAGGGGAATTCCCCCGAACATAGACCAATTCACTAGGGCATGGAATCCTGCAAATCTATGTTTGGGGAAAATTCCCCAAACATAGATTAGCGAATGACTAGGATTTATATTCAGGGGTAGGGCTTATATTAAAAGTATCCCCCGAAAATAAGATGGGGCTTGTGTCTTATTTTCGGGCGAAACACAGTATGTGTATATATATATATATGTGTTGGCACTATATAAATATAATAATAATATACAGGAGGGCCATTCCTTTTCTACGTTACTTCACACGTCAACTATGCTAAAGTATCCCAGAACTTTACTTCTGGAAATTAATGTCACCAATTCCTGGATTATATTGGTTATTGTTAAATGAACTTTGTGAGCTGTAGTGGTTATGGTGCTTGGGATGTTCCTATAACCTTTTCTTACATTATGATGTCTGTCGTTCTATTACTCATTGTTATGTGCTTAAATTTAAAATAAAAAAAACAGGATAAAAAAAGATGAAATTCTAGCCAAAATAAATTCTGTGGACTATCAGAGGTTTGCTTCCAGAGTGATAGCCTTTGTAATAATATACAACTGAGGATATTGTATTTTTTTTTTCATTGTAGGTCTTAGGGAAGGCCTATGTGAACAAACCAGTCACTGCAGAAATAGTTTTCACAAACCCACTTGACCTAGAAGTGTCTGATATGGTGGTCAATGCTGAAGGCAGTGGCTTGCTCAAGGATCCTCTCACAAAAAGGTAATTTTTCCAAATGTCACATTTCTGTATCTGAATCATTTAAATTGTGTCTGCCTTTTTGACGCAAGATGCACAGAGAAAGGGGTTCAGGAACCCTAGAAAGCCAAGACACTGTCCAATATAATAAACCAGAATGCCAGGACACACAAAGGTTTATTCACTGAAGTGAGAATTGTTGGGAAATCGAAATAAATTTAAAATTTTATGCCAAATAAAAAATATAAAAAAGGGGCGCATCAAACTTTTTATTAAAAGTCCAAATTATTTGGATAGTTGCATGCACTAGACAATTGAAGAACCTAAAAACCCCACAAAGGTGCTGAGCTCAAAATATATATAAAAAAATGCAAATTTAGTGCAATTCAAAATACAAATATAATATTTTCCAAGTTCCCATAAGATCGTTTTCATTGTAAAACGAAAAAAACAAAACACAGGTACCTAACCTTAATGCCTTGTAGGCTCATCCTGTCATAATTAAATAAGAATACTGCAGTCATTTTGTTTCTATGTGGAACTTTGAGACTCTTTGTATCTGAATTCAAGAGCCAGAACACTTTATTGAAATGTCCACTGTGTAGCCAGCAACTCTCCCAGTTAATTACTAGCAGCCATAAGTGCCTAGAGCAGAGCTAGACCCTGATAAACGCTAGCCGATAAATTGACGGATTGATCTTGCAGAATCACAAACATCTGAGAGCTACCTGAACAGAGAGAAAAATATAGATTTTTGGCAGTCAAAATAAAGGGGGGCTGGGAGGTATAGCTCTCTGCTAAAGTACTAGACTGCCCTGCTGTGGTGACAATGCAGGATGACGCCAGATGATGTCACTGATGATGTCACCAGTTTCACAAAGATTAAACATAATGTCAACAAAAATGCAAAGGAAGGAAGCAAAACAAAGACGCTTTATAAGAAAACATAATTGGGATTACATAGTCTAATATTACTATAAAATCAGATGAAAAATATAATTAAAAAAGCTACAGGCGTACAACACCCTTTTATAAGATCACCTTGGAGGATGACCAAATCTGTTTTTTTTCAGAACAATGGGCTATTTATTTATTCACAATAAAGAACAGTTCATCTTTTCCCATGATGTGTCAGGAGCCACCCAATGACAAATTTATATTACAGTACGAATCAACGTGTCAACGTTTTTTGATTATGACAGTGTAAATAATTGTCAACCAGTGTCTGCTTTTCTTGGCTGAGAAACACAATAAAAAAACACAAACCCTAAGTGATACATTACAAACTTTCCCTCGGTTTTTCCCATATGATATGATGCAGTTTCAGGATTTCCTGACCTCTTTCATGTCTCCAATATGAAATCATGTTCCATCAAATCGCCACACAGGTCTTATTCCATAATTAGTTTAAAGGAAATTGTTAGCAGGGGATAACTCCATTTGTTAACACTAAATCTAGTATGGCCTCCTTACGAGTTGACTCCTCAATGACTTGTTTTAGAGACAATCCCAGTAGGGAGTTTAGAATATGTGTGCTCCTGGCACAAGTAGCTAATTTTGTTTTCCAATTTACATCTAGAAGATTAAAGTCACCCATGATAATAACTTCCTCCTCCATTGTCATTTTAGCTATTTCCTCAACTAGTAGATTATCTAACTCTTCTATTTGTTCAGGGGGCCTGTAAATCACACCTACATGAGTTACTGTGTGATTACCAAATTCTAACGTAACCCAAACGGACTCTATATTCACCTTTCTACCGTTTAGTAGGTTAGATTTAATGCCACCCCTCCCCATTTCTTGCCTTCCCTGTCTTTTCTATATAAAGAGTACCTTGGTATTGCTAAGTCCCAGTCATTTTTACATTATACCATGTCTCAGTAACAACCACTAAATCTACATTCTCAGTTGCCATTATTGCCACAAGTTCATGGATCTTATTCTCGGAACTGCAAGCATTTGTAGACATGACTCTAAGCTTCTAATTTTTTAACACACTCACTACAGTTATTTTCTGTCCTCGTTTTGGGGAGAAATTGGATTGTTTTATCACCCTTTTGCCCCCCCTCCTAGTTTAAATACTCCCTAGCAAAACCTCTGAACTGCTCTCTGAGAACATTTGCTCCCTTTTGAGAAAAATGGAGACCATCTTTTTTGTATGGTTTATTTATTTTCCAAATTTATTTATTCATAAAATATATTACCAGGAAAGATACATTGAGATTTCTCTTGTTTTCAAGTATGTCCTGGGTCCACAAATCATTGCATTGTTACATTAGGTACAACAAAATACAAAAACAATATTAATACACAATATATACAAAATTTAACATAGAACAGGCAGGAAATATATAATCAACCATGACACGTGCATTCTGTTTTGAGGTATGTAGAGAGGGATCTCTTAAATGACTTTAGGCTTAGGGAAGATTTTAAATTGTGCGGGAGGTCGTTCCACAATTGCGGTGCTCTGTAGGAGAAGGAGGATCGGGCCGCTTTCTTTTTGTATTGAGGTAGACTAAGTAAAGTGCTTGTACTGGATCGGAGCTTATAGAAAGTGGGAACAGCTGGGGAAAGCATTTTGTTCAGGTAGGGTGGGAGTTTCCCAGAAAAGCTCTTAAAAACAAGGCTGGAAAGATGAAGGGTGCGTCTGGATTCCAGCGACAGCCAGTTTAGTTCCTTTAGCATGTCACAATGATGGGTCCTGTAATTACATTGTAGCACAAATCGGCAGAACGAGTTATACAATGTGTTGAGTTTATTAATGTGGGATTGCGATGCAGACGCATATACTACATCCCCATAATCAATGATTGGCATCAGCATTTGCTGTACAATCTTTTCCTTTACTGTAGGGCTTAGGCAGGCTTTGTTTCTGTACAGGGCACCTAATTTTGGATAAAGTTTAGATGCAAGCTTTTCTATGTGCAGGCCAAAAGATAGATTGGGGTCTAATATCATACCCAAGTATTTGAAAGAGTGGACTGCGGTCAGTGTGCCATTTGAATTTGTTTTGATGGATAGGTGGGGATTGTGTAATTTCTGTAATTTAGGTACTGTTCCAAAGATCATTGTGACAGTTTTGTCAGTGTTCAGGAAGAGTTTGTTTTTTGCGATCCACTTTTCTACCTCTGTAAACTATTCTTGGAGCAAAGCCTCAAGTTGCGGTAGATTGGATTTGCTCACATAGATTACCGTGTCATCTGCGTACATGTGTACATTTGAGGATTGGCAGACATTAGGCAGATCATTTATAAATAATTTAAATAGTAGGGGGCCGAGAATGGAACCCTGGGGAACACCACATGTGACTGGGAGAGGGAGGGAGTCACTGTCAGAAATGGACACATATTGCGAGCGATCCGATACATACGATCGAAACCAGTTTAAAGAATGATCACCAATACCTGAGTTTTCGAGTTTGTGCAGTAGAATGTTGTGGTCTACTGTGTCAAAGGCCTTAGCAAAATCAAGGAAAATAGCTCCAGTTAGGGCTCCTTGTTCCATGCCAGTTTGGATGTCATTGCAAACTTTTAGGAGGGCAGTTGTAGTGGAGTGATTCTGGCGAAAACCCGATTGATCAGGGGTCAGATAGTTTAACTGTTGGTAGTACTCACAAAGTTGCGTATGGACACATTTTTCTAAGATTTTTGACTATACCGGGAGCAATGATATTGGGCGATAGTTAGAAACCAAAGTAGTGTCACAACTTTTATGGATAGGCACTACTTTTGCAGTCTTCCAAAGTTTGGGTATGTATCCAGACACCAAGGATTCGTTAATTAGAGTTGAGACGGGTTTAGCAATTGCCGGCGCACTGAGCTTCAACAGCATTGCTGGGATTTGATCAGGTCCGGACTGGTTTTTCATTTTTAGATTATTAAGATGTTTTTTAATGACACTAACAGGTACAGGTCTAAAATTAAACTTATCTATATTGGGCCTTTGCAAATTTAGTGGGGCCTGATCCACATTTGTAGTTTCAGGATGTGTGTCATTTATTAGCTTGGCAATCAGGGCAGTAGAGCATCCGACAAAATAATTGTTAAAGGCATTTGCTACATCTAAGGGGAGTTGCAGGGTTTGGTTACCCACTTTGACAGTGGAGGGTTGGGAGTGGATTGGGGGAGTTTGTAGTTTATTTATGACTTTCCAAAAGTTTCTAGGGTTTGAGATGTTACTGTTCAGATTTTCATAGAAATATTGGGCCTTGGCCAGTTTTGTCTGTTTTGTGCATATATTTCGCCATTGTCTATATGCACCGTGATCATTCATAGAGCCAGTACGCTTAAACATAAAGCTACCATGAGAAACAAAGCCAAATCCTTGCTCCCTACACCATTCAGCAAGTCACTAGTTAAAGTCCCTTACACTCATCCGTCTATTATTCTGAATGTTATGCACAGACAGAACTTCAGAGAATGAGAGTGTGGACACAACCTGCCGTATATCATTGGCAAAAACACAAAACACTTCCTTTACCTCTGAAACCTCATTGAAAGTCAAATCATTTGTCCCTAGATGGACAAGTACATTTAATTCCCCTCCCTGCTTTGCTTGCTTAACAATATTACAAATATGTTTCCTGTCTGTGAGCTCCAGGAAGACATCTCACAAAGCCACTATTGTCCAAATCCGCACCTCTTACGATAGAATTCCCCAACAACAACTGCTTTCTATCAGACCTGACCTTGTCCTTTTTGTCATTGGCTGCCATCTTGCACACCTTAGATATAGAGGATGCTGGTTCCACAAACGTTGTGCCTGAGCCTATCTCCATACTATCAATACAATCTGAAAGTGCGGAAAATGAATTATGTTAACACACAGACTGTGCAGTATGTCTTTATCCACATCTCTAAGTCTACTAGATCCTACAGTAAGCCATCTGCTATCCCTAGGACATCTCTGCGGCAGTGGATTTGAAACAGTTCCAGCCTGAGTTTGTTTAACAGATAATTTGCAAATCTCAGACTTCAAAAATACAATCTCCTGTTGCAATACAAAGAACTGCCTACAGATTAAACCGCATTGAAACCTCCAAAAAGCAGGGCATGAAACAAATGCAAAACAACTAAGTCTGCCATTTTAATTAGATGAGGAATTAATATCAAACACATCTTACTTTTTGTTTCTTTTTTCTACCTTCTGTGTACCTCAGATTACCCCCAGGGTATCTCCAGAAACTCCAAGTACACTTTGTGGCACCACTTAGAAGCAGCAACCAAGCTAAAAGGTTAAAGGAACTTAACATGTATAGCTTGGAGGAAAGACGAGACAGGTGGACATGATAGAAACATTTAAATATATAAAGGGAATCAACACAGTAAAGGAGGGGACTATATTTAAAAGAAGAAAAACTACCACAACAAGAGGACATAGTCTTAAATTAGAGGGGCAAAGGTTTGACAATAATATCAGGAAGTATTACTTTAAGAGAGGGTAGTGGATGTATGGAATAGCCTTCCAGCTGAAGTTGTAGAGATTACGCATGCATGGGATAGGCATAAGCCTATCCTAGCTTTAGAAAATTGGGCATTTAGATTTAGAAAATTGTGCAGACTATATGGGCTGATTGGTTCTTATCTGCCGTCACATTCTATGTTTCTATGTAACTGTGTAGAATGGTCTTGAACCTTTTTTTTTTTAGTCCCGAGTTATTAAATAAAGTTTAATTTATATAGTTTTTTTTTTTGTTTTTTTTATACGGAGGGGCCTACTTTGGTCTTTTGTGCCTAGGCATATTAGACTATAATGATTAACTTTTGTATATCCACTTAGGACTAGGATCATTTACAGCAAAATGCATTCTTAAGTTAAACACAAATATCGTTATTGCATCAAAAATAGTGATATAATATTTTTGTCCCAGAAATCCCAATGTATCCCAACAGCTAAACGGACAGATTTCCGTGAATCTGGTAAATACCACAAATCATAAAACAATTATAAGTGAATAATCTTAAAACTCAAAGGAATAAATGGAATCCACAGTACTTTTTCAAGACAATACATCTAAACTAAAGCCATATTCATATCCACGGTGCCAGAGGGTGCTACAGCTACATAGTGTAAATAATAAAATTTACCATACTTCGGTTGTCTTACAAGTGTCTTAGAAGGATTTACATTATTTTACATTATTTTTTTGTCATTATGATTTATACCTGTGGCTTCATGTCTCCACAAAGTTTTTTTGACATCTCTGTACATCTCCCTTTTAATGTAGATTTTCCTACTATGATCACTAGGCGGCAGTAGTATCTTAATAATCTGCAGGACTCTTCAGAGACCTAAAATATTTCAGAATTCCTGGATGTACCCATTAAGATCTTGACTTTAAAACTACTGGTCAATAGTTTACCAGCACCTTTCATGGCAATGCTGCACAAAGCAGGAAAATGTTATAATAAACTAAAATTACAAGTGCATACATTTAAAATAGGGTATACTATTGTAGAGTGAAACAAAGTATAGTGTGCAAGCATTATGAAATTTCCGCAATTATTTCCTGAACATTATTTGGCACTTTTGATTAAGTTAATTCTACTCTTTAGAAGTTTATATCCCATACATGGCCTATGCAGTCATGGTGGAAATGCACCCATTACATGATGTGCTTTGAACTTGTTTCACTTACTGTATGGGTCCATTCACTATACTCTATTGTATGGCTTTTCCAATTTATTTTTATTTGACTTTTTTAAACTTTATTTTTTTTTTATATTATAGTAATAAAAATAATCTTTAAAACTAAATGTATTCTAGTATAATACTTTGCTACAACTAGTATTCATATTTTTTTGTATTGCTTATAGTAACTGTTATTTTTTTGTTTCTTTGTAATATATTTTAATATATATTTATTATTCACAATTTTTTAATTTTTTTACATTTTTATTTTTATTTTTAGGGCTTCTGCTGTGAAAGCTAAGGACACCATAACAATTCCCATAGCGATAACACCGTACAAGACTGGGAAGAAACATCTACTTGTTGACCTGAACTCTGACAAGTTCAAAAATATGAAAGGTTATGTTGAAATAGATGTTCAGGAAGCGGAGTAGTTCAATTGCAAAATCAAAATGAAAAAAATAAAGTAAAAATCTGTTACATTTCTACTTCATTGCAACAGGTTGCAATACAATAGTAGAATACATACCTGTCATGTTCTTGAAATTTTGAGAAACTTTATTAATTCTTGATGCGTATTAATGAACATACGAACAGGTGCTTTGAACATTTAATTTTAAGAGTTCTGTTATGCAAACAGCATTACTATTTCATATAGACTTTATATATATATTTTTTTCTAATATTCCTTCCTTGGCATCTGGATGCCAATTTGTGACATAATATACTTTGTACATGTAACATATCCACCTTCTGTTATGCATGGTCACTTGCATTTTTGGATAAAGAACAAAAAGAAATTAAACAATAACATTTATGACTATTGTCTTTATTTGAGTTTATTATTTTTGAACTTCAATAAGATGTCTTTAGGGGAGCATTGACTGGAAAATCCCTGAAAAATTGAGCCTACCATGATACAGTATGTCACTGTAAGAAGGAGTGTATAAGCTATTTATCTGAAGTATAAAAGTCACAAAATAAAAATATAATACACATACTAGTTACACACAGAGGACACACACACACAAAATTACACACAGAGGACATTGGCACACACACACATATTTACACACAGATGACACTGACACAAAAAAACTTGACACGCTGACAGACACTCTTACTGACAAACACACATTCACTGACAGGCACACATACTCACTGATTTGACACACACCCACTGACAAACATCCACATTCTCTCACACACTCCCACAAAATATTATTTTTGAAAATGTATTTTTAAGTTCAACCAGGCTCCCTACCTTTGAGAGTGATGGATTGGATCCTTTCCCTGGAGTCCAGTGTCAGGCTTGTGCTCTTACAGCACTGCTCCTTTGTGCACTCTCTAGTGGTACTTGGGCAGGAGTGACGTTATCATCGCATGGCGCGCTAGGCTGTCAGAGGTAGAGTTATACCTCCAGCAGCAATGTAGTATAACTTTTTGTGTAGAGCATCTCAAACTGAGATGCTGCAGGCACAGATTCCAAATTTGTGTGTCAAATGAATCCCTCACCCTTCCCCATCATTCAGTGGGCATTGTGACAGAGTCTGTGGAACTGTTAGCAGAGAGCTTAATCAGCCGAACCTGTGAATGTCCTTTTAAAAATGGTTTTGGAAGATGTCCTACTATGAAGACAGATGCAGCAGATAGTGCAAAACCTGCTACAAAGAACATCAAAAGAGGAAACCTGCTTGATAGAAGGATTGGACAGAGGTGATAATACTTGCAATCCAATTGGTAGAAGGCACAACATTACCCTTTTATGGATTGCTATAGACTTCCAGATGCCTTTAGTGGCAGAAGGAATAAAGACTGGGTGAGGTGGGTCTGGATCCCAAGCCAAGAATGAGTTACCCATGTTCCTAAGTGGTGGCTGCATTGGGGAAACTGTTCCTGTTAACATAACTGTAAAAATAACTCCAGTTGGCTTCCCTGTTGCAAAATCCTTCAGTTCATCTCCGTACTGCCATACCCTCCACTCCACAATACAAAGGGTGGGGAAAGAAGAGGACATGTAGAAAACTCATCTTTCATATGTGGGGGAGTGCAATCCATATTCATGGAGATCTCCATGATTAGAGAGATCACTGAGGATCCATGTTCATTTTTTTAACATGAGATACCTAATACTCTAATGGCATTTTGGTTGGTTTACAGACCCTCAACAAGGTTATCATCGTACTTTAGCTGCCTCAATTAATATTTTTGTTCAGTATTTACAGATGAAAATGAAGGAAAGGAGCCTCAGTTAGAAAAAAGGACACATGAGTCATTTGTTACATGTGCGTTTACAGAGGATGAGGTTCTATTTCAACTGTCAAAACTAAAGACAAGTCAATGGGACCTGATGGAATACACCCAAAGCTATTAAAAGAGCTTAGTGGTGTACTAGCAAAACTATTAACAGATTTATTTAACCAATCATTGTTAACAGGAGTAGTCCCAGAAGATTGGCGATTGTTGTGCCCATTCACAAGAAAGGTAGTAGGGAGGAGTTGGGTAACTATAGGCCAGTAAGCCTTACTTCAGTAGTAGGGAAAGTAATCGAAACCATGTTAAAGGATAGGATTATTGAACATCTAAAAACACATGGGTTTCAAGATCAGAGACAACATGGGTTTACTTCAAGGAGATCATGCCAAACTCATCTTATTGATTTTTTTGATTGGGTAACTAAAATAATAGATCAGGGTGGTGCAGTAGACATTGCTTACCTAGATTTCATTAAGGCTTTTGACACTGTTGCACATAGAAGGCTTATCAAAAAAATTCAATCTTTAAGTTTGGATTCCAATATTGTTGAATGGGTAAGGCAGTGGCTGGGTGACAGGCAACAGAGGGTTGTAGTCAATGGAGTATATTCGAAGCATGGGCTTGTCACCAGGTACCTCAGTGATCTGTACTTGGACCCATTCTCTTTAATGTTTTTATTAGTGATATTGCCAAAGGTCTTGTTGGTAAGGCATGTCTTTTTGCTGATGATACTTAGATATGTAACAGGGTTGATGTTCCAGGAGGGATAGGCCAAATGGCAAATGATTTAGGTAAACTAGAAACATTGTCAGAGTTGTGGCAACTGACATTTAATGTGGATAAGCGCAAAATAATGCATCTTGGATGTATAAACCAAAGGGCAAAGTACAGAATATTTGATAGATTCCTAACCTCAACATATGAGGAAAGGGATTTAGGGGTGATTATTTCTTATGACTTAAAGGTATGCAGACAATGTAATAGAGAAGCAGGACATGCTAGCATAATGCTTGGTTGTATAGGGAGAGGTATTAGCAGTAAAAAGAGGGATGTGATAATGCCATTGTACAGAACACTGGTGAGACCTCACTTGGAGTATTATACGCAGTACTGGAGACCATATCTTCAGAAGGATATTGATACTTTAGAGAGAGTTCAGAGAAGGGCTACTAAACTGGTTCATGGATTGCAGGATAAAACTTACAAGGAAAGGTTAAAGGAATCTAACATGTACAGCTTGTAGGAAAGACGAAACCGGGGGGATATGATAGAAACATTTAAATACATAAAGGGAATCAACACAGTAAAGGAGGAGACTGTATTTAAAAGAAGAAAAACTACAACAACCAGAGGACATACAGGGAGTGCAGAATTATTAGGCAAATGAGTATTTTGACCACATCATCCTCTTTATGCATGTTGTCTTACTCCAAGCTGTATAGGCTCGAAAGCCTACTACCAATTAAGCATATTAGGTGATGTGCATCTCTGTAATGAGAAGGGGTGTGGTCTAATGACATCAACACCCTATATCAGGTGTGCATAATTATTAGGCAACTTCCTTTCCTTTGGCAAAATGGGTCAAAAGAAGGACTTGACAGGCTCAGAAAAGTCAAAAATAGTGAGATATCTTGCAGAGGGATGCAGCACTCTTAAAATTGCAAAGCTTCTGAAGCGTGATCATCGAACAATCAAGCGTTTCATTCAAAATAGTCAACAGGGTCGCAAGAAGCGTGTGGAAAAACCAAGGCGCAAAATAACTGCCCATGAACTGAGAAAAGTCAAGCGTGCAGCTGCCACGATGCCACTTGCCACCAGTTTGGCCATATTTCAGAGCTGCAACATCACTGGAGTGCCCAAAAGCACAAGGTGTGCAATACTCAGAGACATGGCCAAGGTAAGAAAGGCTGAAAGACGACCACCACTGAACAAGACACACAAGCTGAAACGTCAAGACTGGGCCAAGAAATATCTCAAGACTGATTTTTCTAAGGTTTTATGGACTGATGAAATGAGAGTGAGTCTTGATGGGCCAGATGGATGGGCCCGTGGCTGGATTGGTAAAGGGCAGAGAGCTCCAGTCCGACTCAGACGCCAGCAAGGTGGAGGTGGAGTACTGGTTTGGGCTGGTATCATCAAAGATGAGCTTGTGGGGCCTTTTCGGGTTGAGGATGGAGTCAAGCTCAACTCCCAGTCCTACTGCCAGTTCCTGGAAGACACCTTCTTCAAGCAGTGGTACAGGAAGAAGTCTGCATCCTTCAAGAAAAACATGATTTTCATGCAGGACAATGCTCCATCACACGCGTCCAAGTACTCCACAGCGTGGCTGGCAAGAAAGGGTATAAAAGAAGAAAATCTAATGACATGGCCTCCTTGTTCACCTGATCTGAACCCTATTGAGAACCTGTGGTCCATCATCAAATGTGAGATTTACAAGGAGGGAAAACAGTACACCTCTCTGAACTGTGTCTGGGAGGCTGTGGTTGCTGCTGCACGCAATGTTGATGGTGAACAGATCAAAACACTGACAGAATCCATGGATGGCAGGCTTTTGAGTGTCCTTGCAAAGAAAGGTGGCTATATTGGTCACTGATTTGTTTTTGTTTTGTTTTTGAATGTCAGAAATGTATATTTGTGAATGTTGAGATGTTATATTGGTTTCACTGGTAATAATAAATAATTGAAATGGGTATATATTTGTTTTTGTTAAGTTGCCTAATAATTATGCACAGTAATAGTCACCTGCACACACAGATATCCCCCTAACATAGCTAAAACTAAAAACAAACTAAAAACTACTTCCAAAAATATTCAGCTTTGATATTAATTAGTTTTTTGGGTTCATTGAGAACATGGTTGTTGTTCAATAATAAAATTAATCCTCAAAAATACAACTTGCCTAATAATTCTGCACTCCCTGTAGTCTTAAATTAGAGGGACAAAGGTTTCAAAATAATATCAGGAAGTATTACTTTACTGAGAGGGTAGTGGATGCATGGAATAGCCTTCCACCTGAAGTGGTAGAGGTTAACACAGTGAAGGTGTTTAAGCATGCGTGGGATAGGCATAAGGCCAGGGACTAATGAAAGTATTTAGAAAATTGGGCAGACTAGATGGGCTGAATGGTTCTTATCTGCCGTCACATTCTATGTTTCTATGTTTCTCTTAAGTGTATACATGTGATGTTTCCTTTCAGTGCTACATCTCAGAGCTGTACTTTGCTCCTCTCCACTGCAGCATTATTGAGTTAATTTAGTTCATTTGGAAATGTCTAAAATCTTAACAGATGTTTCTAATCCCCAATAATTCACCCATGTATAGTTGATGCACTTTGTTTTTTTTTTGGGCATTAAAGTAAAACTGTCACTTCAGCATCATATCATCCCTGAATGCTGCCATTTAATGATTCTCTGTTCAAACCTGACCTGCCTGACCAAAGATCAGTCACATTGCGATGACAAGCTGAATTTTCTTGAACATTTCAGAGGGAGACCAAGTTTAATCCCAACAGAATCTTGATTGTGCAAAAACGGTTATTAGTCTAACCTGAATTTTGAAGGC